TATTATGGCCATGCTGTCGGCATAAGCAAGAGTGTTCAAAGGTCTAGAAAACCTGAAAACTTTAAGGAAAGCATTGAAAAACTGGGCTTGTTTAGAGAGCAACAGTTGGTAGGTAGATAGGTAGGTGTGATGATAATTTCTGAATATGTAAAAGCTTTCTGCAAAGAAAAAAAAAATCTCTTTTTCATGTTAGTTTACAGTTTAAACAAGAATTAATGGGCTCAAATTGCAACAAGGACATTTAAATTGGATACTAGAATAACTTTCTAACGTAGATAGTGGAATAGGTTACCTGGGAGGTCATAGAATCTCATTTTTTGAAGGTGTCTGAGAACAATCATCTGCCAAGAATAGCTTTCCTAACTAAGGCCAGTGGAGTACCCACAGTGGTCTGGCATCCTTTCAGCTGTATTGTCTATGTCTGCACATAAGCTCTTACCTCCAAGCCTGCAGCACTTGAAGAATATGAAATTTTACAGAGTTAATCTTGAGACCCCATGGAAATTATATTTTTTACTGCAGTAGTGTAGAAGTCCAATCACGGCCTGTAACTCTACTAAATAAACCTTGATGAAAATACAAAATTTTTTGTGCCCTCAAAGAAATCAGTTTCATTAGATGGTGAAAACACTACAGTTTTACGCTTCATACTGTATGTCTCAATTTCTTTTTTTTATACATTCCTGCTGAATTTAATAATGACTCAAGAATAATCAAATACATATTTTAGCCCTTACATCAAAGGCATTTGATTTAAATCCAGTCTATTTCAAAGTTCTGAAAAGTCCTTATGACTTTTGCTTGTAGATCCATGTCAGATGAGTTGATGCTCTCATGCTGACCTTTGAAATTTGTGTCTACATCACTGACACCTATGAAAAGATTCCTATTACCTTCAGTAGGTCTATCAAACTCATGAGAGAATCTCCTCCTGAGAAAATCTGTAAATACTACTGAAAAATTTGCAATCTAGACAAAAGCTAGTTCTGTGCTTGTAACTAGCATGTAACTCCAGTGAAGTCTCCGGAGTGTACAGAGATTAGCAGGGTAGATAAGAACCAAATTATGTCCCTGTTACCCAAGGGGTAATAGAACACGAGTATTAAATTCATTTGAAAGAAAAACAGACATTAAAATGTCCCCTTCTCCCCCCAAAATACTGCAGAGGTTAAAATATGCAGAATTGTTACTGAAAAATATACATTTTTCAACTTCCAAATACACAAAACACACTTAGTGAGAATAAATCCAGGATCATTGGTGATGAGATCAAACTGATAATAGTTCCAAAGAATTCTGCTACATTTGGCTCCAGTTAAATAGCGTAACTAGGTATAATCAAGCTAGTTACTGTGGATATAATGTAAATGTAGTAACATTTCTCCTCATGACCTCCTTTCAGCTGCCCCACTGGGGATATAATGGAGTGTGAGATTGCAAACAAACTTTACCAGAAAAAATTAATGTTTTCATTAATTATATGAATACTTCTTTTACTTTAACTTAGGTATTGTACTGAAGAGCAGTGTATCTCCATCATTCAAGTGCAAAACACTTAATATGTGTTAATTCAGTGCAAGTTTCTTATTTAAGCACTCTTCTCCTGCAGCTGCAAGTGTAATAATCAATTGAAATGGTCTAATATGGTGTTACTGTTACAAGGATAATATGACAAAATATATCTCAGTTTAATCCATTTCAACATAAAAATTAATAATGGCACGTTATGAGTATCGTCTCTTTTTTTTTCTTTTTTTTTTTTTTTTTTTTTTTTTTCGTGTGTTGTTATCCGTCTTTTTTGTGAAGAACAGCATTTTTTTGCCTGTTTTGTTTTTTTTTTTTTTTTTTTTTTTTTTTTTTTGTTACTGCTGTTGCTGTTAGAAATGGACTCAGCCTAGTTTTACTGGTGCCACAGTTTGGGTTACAGCAACTAATTTCTGTAGAAAGAATTAACTTAATTCTTCTCATCACTTTTTGGCATGGAAAACAGAAAAAAACATGTAACTCGTGTAAAAAGAAGTGGGAGTTGTAGCAGTGTTCGCACCACATTCTTACCCTCTAAGAGTTTGTCATCCACATGACTTAAGACACTCCACCTAACTCTGTTTGATTTTGAGCACAAATACTTCAGGAGATGTCCCATGGGAGAGACATATAAAAGACCGCTGCTCTGTATTAATGATCTCCCAGAAAATCAAGAAAGCAACTTTGGCTTTTCTTTGCTGTGAAAAGGAGCAATGTTTTAAGAGTAATAGAAGCATAATACGCCTTGGCTGGTACGGACTCACTGATCTGCTTGTATCAATGGCATGACACTGGTATATATGAGCTGACTATCAAGACCTAATTAAGGAGCCCTAACAACTTTTCTTGAGATTAGGGAGTATAATTCTCTTCATCTTACATATGGAAAATGATGTATGGCTCCTTTGCAACAGTAGACAATTAGCCTTAAAAGTCATGAGTCTTAACTGACTCTTCCCTCACATTTTCTGGGTTTTCCTAGATTACAGAGTTCCCCTAAGTTATAGCTCCTCTTATTTCCATCTAAGCACCTTGTGGTAATTGTCAGGCTAACATTACATATAAGTAACTAATGGAAGTTGTGTTTAGAATTTTCATTTAAATAACTGTCCATATCTTTTCTGCTTGGCAGTAGTTAGGCAGCTCCAGATATCAGAGGGGCCTTTGCTGCTACTGAGTTGGATACTACTGATGATGATGGAGTGAGCTGATTTTGGGAACTGTTGTGTTTACCCCCTCAGAGGTAGCAGGCTTGCAGTGCCGTATGTAACTGTGCATTCACTCTGTTGAAGTCTGGGTTTCAAGCCTGAGTGGTGATTAGTGCAGTATTGTTCTCACACAGCTGTAAGAAGCTCGGTGGATATTCAGATCTTTCACAGCATAGGTGAAGTTTTCTTAGTTTATATGTGCAACTCCATCCTTAGCACTGCTGATTTTTCATGCTGCAATTAAGAATCTTACCATGAAAATCTTACATCTGAAGGCTTTATCAGGTTTGGGGTTTTTTAATAATATGTGTCTATCAACATTTATATTTGCATTTTGATATCAATATGTAAACAAAATAATCCTCCACTTTCATCTCTTTATAGGTTTGGACAAGAAAAAAATTTTTAATATTATTTCTAATTTAATATGGTCCATTTTCTGAAGGGCTTTAGTAGATCTGCAACTTACTGTTGTTTATCTTGCAGTTCTCACTGAAGTCTTTCTCATATGCAAGGACTACAGACCTTGTAGCTGTGGCCAACCTAATGTTTCTTGCTAAGTAAACACAAAACCTCTGGTAATTGCACTGGAATTTATATATCTTCATATCAAAATTTATGTAGTTTATAGAAGTATAGAATTTTACACGTATTTAAAAATGCATCCAGGAAAGGCCACCTCTCCTTTCTTGACAATAAAAGGAGGTCTTTCACATTAAATTGCCTAATTTGAGGTTCTTCCTCTTCTTCACATGTATAAACTATGTCATCAGTATACTTCTCAATAAAAATCAGCTATTGCTTTTTCATGCCTGATTCACAGCCACTGCCCAGCTAACATCAAAGCCTCTACTTATAGTCACAGAACAAGCAACAACTTGCTCCCGAGTTGCACAGACCAGTTCAATGGCCATACAGAACAGCTTTTGCATCGTATGTAAAGCAGCCATTTTAAAAAAAAAATTACAGTGAAAGAAATTCCTCCTCATCTCCTGTGCACAATAAAGTCCACATGGTTCCACAGTCTGAACAGACTGCATTCAGTTTTCAGGGACAGAAAATCAGCATTTCCAGAAAATGCACTGAATACCAAGTTGCACTGTTGGCTTCAGTTGTTGTGTGATTACCGTAAGGATTTTTAAGTAAAGGAAAAAACATAGGGATTTTCCAGTACTACCCTGCTCAGGCAAAAAGCATAGAATGTATTTAAGAGGAAACTATTGCAGATTCTTTTTTTTTTAAGCAGGTAGCAACTCATCAATGTTTTTTTCCAGCTGATCTATTCATCACATTATTTGTTGGCTCGGTCTAAGATGTTCTTTACAATTTCTCAACACTTCTGCCCTTCCTGTAATTTCCCCATTGGTAGACCCTTAGTGACCACTGAGTTAGATGGGCTATTGTTCTGACTACTTTAATACCTACTTTAATATCAGGAGAAATGTTGGAGCCAGGCATACTACCTGCATAAACCATTTAGAAATTATCTGGTTGGAACCATATTTATCCTGTATTAAGACACAATGCCCAAACAACATGGCCATCCAGTTACTGTAGTAATAGCTGAAAAGGGATCTCTAAAGTCGCTATATAAGTTGTAGTAACTTCTACTACTCCCAAATCAGTATGCTCTTGGGCAGAAAACATAGCGATGAAAAGCTCTGTCTCCAACTATTGGCCCCTTGAGCCACCCAGTATTGCAGAAAGAGTTTGTTTTAAAGAAAAAAAATTAATCATATTTATTACAAACAGAGCAAAATGTTTCTGATATCTGAAAGACAAAGATAATGTGGCTGTTAGGGTTAGTCTTACTATATCCCAAAATGTCAACACACTTGCCAAAAGTGCATTTATCAGCTCAGTGCAGCCAAGAGATTTAGTTTATCTAAATGTCCTACAAGGAATAAATAGTTTACCACTGGTTTTGAAGATTGGGGTAAGTCTAACATTCTATTGACATATGCTATAGATTTAATTTAATGCTGTGGTTCAGATGTCTCTTCTGATAAATTTTAGTAAAATCTATGCTAAGAAGAATGGAGCTGTTTCAGTATTTATGGGGTTTAAAATGCAGGGTTAGCAAAGGAAACATTAATTGAAACAATGTTTGTTTATATTCTTGCAATGGTTTAGAGAAGAATTTTGCTAAAGTTTGTTGGTCTGTTGGTGCGAATATTAGAAGTTTAGCCTTTTTCAGGTTTATTGTCTTTTCTATAGTAAGAAAATCCTCTAATAAAGTTATTAAATAGCTCAATTTTTATTTTTTAGGCATATTGGAGATAACATCTTAAGTTAAAGTTATTAAATAGCTCAATTTTTATTTTTTAGGCATATTAACATCTGTAGAAATTGGAGTTGTGGCAGGTAAGGCAACTTAAAGGGAAGATTTTTTAGCGAAGTCCATTAAGAGCAACTATTATTTAGCCATGAACAAGAAAGGAAAAGTCTACGGCTCTGTAAGTATTTTTTTTACCTTCCAAATGGATTGCAGTAGTCGGCATAGTTCCCTCTCTTACCTACTGAAACCCTCCCTTGTCTCTGTATTACTACTGATTAGAGCTGAAATGAGCTGTTCATCAACATTCTATCCTCTGGTAAACGAGCAGCTGCCCTCTCTACAAGCTCCCTGTTGTTTGTTAAGCTCATATCATACCAAAGCAACTGCAGGGATTTATCATGCTTACTGCTTCAGTCAGGTTTCTTATTAATTAGTGGCCAAGGGAGAGGGTCCTGCAAAATCTAATCTTTAAGGCTGTTTTTCTCTGTTTTTCTGCAGTACAGTCACATTTAGCAGTAATTCTAGGGGGGATAAAGTGCACCTGAAATCTTGGAAACTTCAACTGATGGAGCAGACAGAGCAAATTATCAAACTATGACTTCCAAAAAGAAGATTTCTAGAGTAGCCAGCTTTACATTGACTGTATTAATTAATACACAAGATTATGGGCAGTACAGAGAGATATAGACTTATATGTCAGCAGATAGATAAAAGCTGAGCAGGATTTGGGTGTCATTTGAAAATTGTCCATATATACTCTATTCGTATTTGTGTAAGTTTGGGGTTACTGATACTTTTTTTGGGGGGGAGAGCAGGGGGGGGAACAAACCACAAAAAAACCCTCAACCCAACAAAACCAGTAACTCTCCAAATATTTTTCATAGGAAGCAATATGATCTATAAATCTGACTACTAAACTCTAGTGTACCCTCACACATCCACATGATTACACAAACACCAGATTGTTCTGGTATTACATCTGGTTTGGTTTGTAATTTTGCAACTTTTTGCCAGCTCCAGTGAGCCCACATAAATGTAAACTTATTCAAGTCATCTGCAAAGGTTATGAGCCAATCTTCAGATTGCTCAGTATTCAGAACATCCATAGGCTTTAAAGAGAGCAGGTCACAGATAGGTGCTGGGGCTGGGTTTATCCTCGGGTAATGTAGCTAAGCCTCCTACCTCTGCTGAAAATAATGAAGTAATGACAGTCTCAACTGAGACTCAAGGGGCTTGAAGTCATTTGGCCCTCTTTTTTAAGGAAGCATTTCTACGGTGTGGGTTTAGTTCATACAAACTATATAAACTGTCCTCCTTCATCTGCACTGTGGCTAGTCATTCCTGGTCCAAAAGGTTACTTCTGACTTTCTAAACTCCTGGGCAGTGTTGAAGGATCACATTAAGGAAAGACCAGAACAGAGAAATGTTTCTTAAACTCCTGTAAATGTGGATTTTAATTTCTAGAATTACACTGGTCAGAATACAGGATAAGCAGTGCTCAGTCCTGCACCATTGAGAGCTATAAGGGTATACTGAGTTGCTGACAAAGTTACCATTTGTCAGTTAAGCTACACTCATTGATCATGGGTGTGCTTCTGGACATATGTGAAGGAGTTAGCATAAATCACCATCTTCAATTCACATGTCTCAGTTTACAGCATTTAATTTAGTCATTTTTGACGGTCCATCCCAAAGCCTGAGATAAGTTTTCCTACCCAAGTTGCTAGCCACAGCTGGTGTGGTAAGAGTCCATCCCAACCCTATGTACACACAAAAGAAGTCAAAGCTGCTTTCATGTACCATAGGTGGAAACTGCTGCCATAAGATTCAGTAATTCATAGTGTATTAGAAATAGTCTTGACAGGAGGATACGAATGTGGAAAGCCTTTCTTTTAATTCCAGCTGAGATAATTTTTCAATATTCACATCATAAAATCACAACATAATGACTTATCAAAACCTATTCCATAATACTTCAGAGATTTCAAGAATGCTTCTGTTATTATTTTTCCCATCCTCCCAAGACTTGCAGTTAGACTCATATTACTACAGTGTGGCAGCTTGCAGATGGATATGAAAAACAGAACCAATAAAAATTGTAAAAACACTCTTAAGCATGTGCACAATAGACATTGGTGCAGGGTTATGCTGAAATTTGTTTGAAATGAGCAAAGCAGTCCTGGGCTAACACTCAGGACCCCAGCCAATAAGACTTCTTAACCACATCACAACATCATCTGTTCTCTCTGTATTATCTAAGAACAGAGATAAAAGTTTGGATTCAAGTACAAATCTGCATCTGGGAAAACAATTCAAGTAAGACTGTTTCTATGTTTATCAAAAACATTTCCATTTGACTGACTTTGGTTAGAATGAGGGAGCAAAAGAAGACTCACTGTTTGGTTTCTTTAACAAAATAAGCTGCTGGCAGATAGGAGAAGCTACTGCGGTTTAGAAATGATTGATGGTCACCTGCCTTCTTGATGCCAGAGGTGGCATATTACAGCAAATACTAAATTATCTATATATAGCTTTGTGAATACAGGCAGTATCAAGGGTCGTTTTGTAGAGAGTCTTCTCTTGATAGTGTCTTCCCCAACAGTCACTGTTCAACTAACTACTAATCCCAAAGTCAAAGAGCATTTTGGGAGCCAAATTGAGTTTGAATATGCGCAATTCTGTTAGGAAAACATAAGCATGTGTTCTGTGGTCTTAGCAGCAACTAAGTAAAACATTAATTATAGACCCAAAAATTCTTACTGTATCAAATTACTGAACATTAACTAGTTTAAAAATTCTAATTTAAAGTAATAGGAATGGAAAATACATTTTTTTTAACATTCTTATGTCCTTTTTTATTAATGTGGATACTTTCTATATCTTTAGATATATCTAAAGATATCTTAGATATCTAACGATATTGATCGTAATAAAACATAAAACATCCCTGAAATTCTTATCTATACTATGAAAATTGTTTTATTATTCAGACATATTTCTTGTCTTGTTCATAGACACATTAAAAATACCACATGTAGTTAGTATATCATACTCTGAGATTCTGACATGCTTCTGCCTGAGCTGTGAAATAACATCTTATTTTCTGAAATGCAGAACAACAAAATGCTAATTTTTTATTGTAATTTAAGTATGTTGTAAATGTCCCACTTTCAAACGCCTTCTAAATGGAATATAAGTAACTTGATAAAACTGGGATTTTTTTATATGTAGGAATTACTTGTTTGTGAAAACAAAGTATTCTTGTCTTCATTATAGAGAAGCAGATCTGCATAAAAGTGCATTTAACATTATAGCAAAAAAATAATCTCCCCCTACATGCTTCCACATGCTTGTATTTTTTATTCTTTCTAACAAACTGACAACTGGTTCTCCTTTAAAAATATAAAACCTTAATCCCTGGTACTATACACAAAATTGCTTTCAAGTTTATTTAGTCAATGAGATACAGGACCATACATGATTCTTTTTTAGGCTAAGCCACTCTTCAGGTCAGCAAAGTAAACAGGCCTCATATCCATTGCAACAATAGCCTAACAGTGATTTGCACCCATCCAAAAAAAGCCCTTTTTCATGGCCAGTGTGGTGTAAAAGATCTTATTTTAAATAAGGAATAGGCCTATGCCATGCATATTTGTTTAACATATGGTATCAATAGAATCATAGAATCATAGAATAGTTTGGATTGGAAGAGACCTCTAAAGGTCCAATAATCTGGTTCAAGATATTTAAGGGTTGTATTTATTAGAACTGAAATATGATGAATGGTTCCAAGATTGCTACCTCATACTTTGAGTTTATGACTGAGAATTTACTTTAATATTGTTGCTATATTCCAACACAGAGAAGTTGAATTTCAGCTGTGAGTGAATTATATAACTTCACTGCTATAATTATGCACTGAATAATTGATTATGTCTTTTGTTGGTTTCACTTTTTGCAGTTTAACTGATGTTGCTTTAAATGCTATGGACACAGTGAAACTTTTCTTTAAATACACTGTAGAATCCTAAAAGGGTGTCACATACAGAACACTGAAATCTTCCAAAACATTTTTAGAAACTATTTACCTTCAGTATGCTGCAACTCTGAAAGATTATGTTTATTCTGAATTTGTGTATTTGTTTTCTTCTTTTAACAGAAGGAGTTTAACAGTGATTGCAAATTGAAGGAAAGAATAGAAGAAAATGGATATAACACATATGCATCCTTAAATTGGAAGCACAATGGAAGGCAAATGTTTGTGGCCCTGAATGGAAGAGGAGCCACAAAGAGAGGACAGAAAACAAGAAGGAAAAACACTTCAGCTCACTTTCTTCCAATGGTAGTAATGTCATAGATGAAGGAACTATTTTATTGATGGAGTTGAACCAAAGGCTCTTATGTCAAGAATATTTGGTAATCCTCTTGAAAAGTAAATGCAAAGAAATAGTACAGACATCTGCTTGTTTGAAAAGAGAGCAGGGGAAGCCTTTGAAGGTTTTGTACTCATTGCTGGCACATGAAATACTTTTATTTAATTCGGTGTCATATCTTATACTCAAGAAACAAGCTGGATCAAATGGGATGGAAGTTATTGCCAGTGTGAACAATTTTTTTTTATCTCTGCAACAGAACTTAAGGGACATGAGACAATCTGTTGAATGATCTTCATGGGGAAAGTTATTTATGGAATACTAACTCATATCAAAGACCTTAATTGCTCATTCAAGCCTAATGATCCAATGAACAGTTAGACGCGCAAGCATTTACTGGAAGCACTTGGGTCATATGCACAAATAATGACATTTCTGGAGAAGCCTTGTGGAAGAATGGATAGGATTAAGGAATATAAGCAAAGTAGTGTAAAACTGTTCTAACAAAACGAATAGTATGGTTTGCTTGTATGTTCTAACTTCATTTCTTTTTATTTCTCTCTAAGTTATTTATTTAATAGGATGTTAAATATCTTTTTGATTTGAAATATTTTCCTCATTTGCTTCTTTGTTATTTTCCCTTTTTCTCAGTACTTCACACAGAGGTTGATAGGTTAAAGTGTCAAAACCTCAGAAGTACTCTGAGAATAGGTATTAGACAAGGCTTTAAAGGCAGAATTTAATGTGTATAATCCATTTTTTTCCTAAACTGTCTTGCACTTAAGCAAAAAGACCAAACAAGCAGTGCTTGGATTTATGGTATTGGGTGTCTCTATGTTGGAAATTTTTTTTTACTTATCAGCACTCAAGAACAAACTTCAAGAAATAATTTGTTCAAAGGGTCTTTCTGCTATTTTGAAATTGAGAGAAGGGGACACATCCGTACTTGGGTGTCAATGCAGCTGTGTGTATGTTCATCTGACTTTGATTTCAATTTGGAACTAAGATCTAATGCATTGCAATCAGCATGATATTCTGCAGCAAGCATTGGGCTGGAACCTAGATGTGGACAGCCCTGTTAAAGTCACTAAGATTGTAAATGTTAAAATTAAACTGTGTGTAATTCCCAAGTGTAAAATTTGGCCTCTGAAAGGTAAGTAAGAAGGCAACACAGTCCTGCACTCCTTATTCAGTTAATACTCCCATTCAGCACATTTTTCCTTGTTACCAGCTTGAGAATCATGGGCATATAGTGGGAGCGATACCTAAGTACGGACTGAGAGACAGGAGATCCAAAATCATGCTCATGCATTTATCAGAGATTATTACTCACATGTATATTATATATGAGAGCCAACCAAAAAGCTGTGCTGGTATCCAGCTTTAGCATGCCTTTCATATCCATCATAGTAACTGAAGGCTCAAAATACGTAATATCCAGCACATTTTTATGAAGTGTTACTAGTCCCATGGCTTAACTTGAGCAACTGCAGTATAACGAAGTTAAGCATAATATGAAGTCTGTTCAATTAAAGTTACATAATGTTTGTTTTATGTTTTGCTTTACTCTAATTTTAGAGAGCTCTGGATAGCTCACCAATGTAACCATATTGAGATTCATTTTGTTAGAGCAGATAAATAGAAAACAGTACATCAAACAATTTGTACCACTGTCTTCACATTGTATTCCACTAAATAAATAAATAAGCCTTTGCAGTGTCTTTAGTAAGAAACAAAAGTAGTATAATATTATTTTGTTCTAAATACTTTAAGTGATAACTATGAGATTATATTGATGCTGCAGTTTTATCTTCAATATTTCTTGTTGTGAAAAAGTTGGTTTTATTTTTATTGTTTGGAAACTGTATTTTGGTACAAAGGGGTTCCTTTCTTAATGTGTCTTTTTGAGAATGTTTAACCTCTGTAAAGGCTGGTGTTGTTGGAATCTTCTGTAACTTATTTAAGTCAATGTTTAACCAGCCCTTCAATCTTAATCTGTTATTTAAATATTAGCTGTTTTTTTAAAAAAAGCAAAAATAATAGCTTTCCCATAAAATACAAAATGGCCAGATTGTATTTCCTGTCCTTAAATAAAGTCAACTGTTTAAAAACCAGGAATTCATTGAGAGACAACAATTTAGCAGATAGCTGACATTGTATTTCGTGGTATTTTATCCCAGCTTGCTTATTCACAGATGAGAATTTTCTAGAAAAGGAAGTAAGAATTTCAGATTTTAAATGTAATTGCAGGTCACAGCAAAACTTAACTACAATGATAAAAGCAAGGTTCTGTTGTTTAAAATTTGTAATCGATAATTAAAACTGACAAGACATAATGGACCACCCGCAGTGAGCATTCAATGTGGGCTTGGGTGAATGCAGTATTGGATGACCATTTAAAGAACATTTGGGGTACAAACGAAATTCTCTTTTGACAGAATTACCTAGATGACTTGGTCAAGGGAGGGATTATGCATAAATATTATCATAGTACTCAAAATACCATGCTGCTCAGAGGCCAAAATCAGGAAATATCACTTTTCCAAAGTGAGTCGGGAGTCATTTGTGACATGAATAGTGGTTTCTGAAAATTAACCAGAATTAAAAAATCCTTGAAGGAATCAATGATTCCTGTGTGTTTGGAATACTGTAATACCCACTGTAGTGGGAGCAAACTGCAGACACACTATCTAGAGTATCACAGATCCTCAACCATAAGCTCTGTTTTCTGTCACCCTCAACATAACAGACTCCTGAGCAAAAGGAAAACAGGGAGGGATTTAAAAAAGAAAAGGGAAATAAAAATCACTGAGCAACAATGTATAACGTATGTTATATTTAAATAAAAACAATAAAATGTGGGGAATAGAGAATAAGAGTATTGTCCTTGTTTGTTTTATTAATCTGAAATGATACTGCACAATAAAAATAAAAAGGGAAAAGATCCGTTGTACTACAGGATGTGGTTTGGTGCTGTATAGCCCCAAAACAAAAATCACTTGAACATTTGTAAGTTTCTTTAATTTTTTGCATGTGTGAGTCAGCTATCTCCACACTAATAACAACCAAATGCTTCAGATTCTTCCTGTAAGTATTCAAATCCACCTAGTTTATACAGTGGAAAAAGCAATGAATTTAAAGCAAGCACATTTGATGAAAGAATGAAGGGGTTTAGGAAGAAGAACATGTACTCACATTTTAAAAATAAACTTTAGATATGGAAAAATAGTTACATTTTATGTAAGACTTCATTCAAGACATTTCAGGTTATAAAGTTCACTGAAGTTTAGTAAGCTTTAATAATACAAAAATACCAGTGTATGAGCACAACTTTGTAATTCATGCCCCTGCTGAAACTGATTGTCTCTATTCACACAATCAGTTGTAACTGCTTCAAGGAGTGATCTTGAAATTAGTGCATGAAGACAGCCCCTCTTTTGAAGTATCAAGTATCATTATTTACTCTATTAAGTTCGATTGTAGGGCAGAATTCATCCTCCTAATTTCCTATTAAATTAGAGAAAGAAAAGTACAACACATAACACAAACACATTTTCTGCTGCAGCTAGTCAATGTGTGATTACTGATGGTATTTTTCAGAAACAGCTCATTGACTGAAACAATTTCAGTGCAACTGCAAATAACAAACATGCAAAAAAACCATTGTTTCCCATCGCACTGTAAGCAAGAAATAGAATATGAAAAATTAATTGGTCTTGGACCTATCAGATTATGATTTACAGTTATGCTTACCTGCTCAAAATATTTGAACTTCATGTTTAGTTATATGGGAGCTTTTTCAGAATAAGTTTTGGGAATTTCTAATGAAGCACGATAATCTCAGATACCCGATTGATGTGTTTCCACTCACTAATCCCAGAAAAAAAATGTAGTATGTCCTTTGCCCACCCCAACAATACAAAGAAAATATGCTGCTGTGAAAGGCAAAATAAAGGAAGCATGACTAAGCCCCAAGTAACTGATACGGGAGCACTGATCTCTAAGTTACTGCAGTATACATGAGGAGAATTTCCGCTCCTGAAATTCCTCACCAGGACCTTTAGTGGTGCCACTGTATACTATTTCATTAATGCAAAATACTAACTCATGCAATTGAATAAATGGATATGCTGGTGGTGACATCAGAAATACATGTCCTATTAGACCCTTGTCCAAATATGAGGCTATGAGAATCGCAATATCTGAAAAAAAACCCACAGAAATTACCCCACTGTATAGTTCTGTGCAAAATATTTAGGGCACTGATAGTTTATAGATAATGTACCACAGCAGAAAAAACATAATCTATATTTATGTCAGAGCTCAGACTCTAAATTTATCTTGCAATAATGTGGTAAATGAAGAATCAAGATATTACAAGTTCTTTATTACTACTGAAATGTAAAGTGTGCATACCTTCAGTGCAGCCATTCATTCAAGCTCCAGATGTACCAGTTCACCATCCAAACTATTCTGTGGCTTGGTTTAAATTATGTTATATGATTTTTTTGATTATGAAACTGTTTTGCTAATTGCTCAATGAACTTTTAACCCTTTCATTTGCTAACAGTCTTCACAGAAGTCTGGGAAAAGGCCAAACACTGGTCTACACCTGAATTTGCACTTTTTTTCTAGCTATAAATAGCTGAAAAAACAGGTTACATTCAATGTTGTACATGCAGGAACTTGCCTTATTCAGTGAGGTGTGTCTGAGTGGGATGAAAAGTTAATCTCTCCGATCCATTATTTTCATGATGCCCAACTAATATGTATACTTTCTTGCATTAGAAATACTCTTGAAGTGTCACTTCCCCATATTTCCAAAATGTGCATCACAAAATTGTATGAGCACTTTAGCTTTCTCTTTTATCTCTTTTTATTTTCTAACAAGTTGAGACAGCACTCAGAAAAGGAACTGCCTTATCAGGACCCTGTACATACAATTTAACATTCTTTCCAAATTGTAGTTAAATAATCCATTCAGGACAATCAAAATGTTTTGAGCTTGGTCTTCTAGTACCCATATCAGTAGCCTTCAGACACAATTAACTACTTGAAAGAACTATTTTATTTATACTCAAAGACTAGTCCAGGAACAGCAGAATCTTGGAAAAAACCTCAATAAACAACTTATAGATGTTAGGGTCAATAGGCTGGGACCTTTCAGGCAATATTTTTAACAAATCACAAGAAAAATGAGGGTACTGGGTGTAAATAAAAATCACAGCATAAATATTCATGTGAGGTATTTTAAATTTTAAAATTTGCGCTAAAAATGTGACCTCAAATAACACATTCTTCATTTAATCTTTTTGAAAAAATATAGTTTTCAGTTTACTCTTATACTGCTAACTATCTGCAGAATATTTCTTGTCCAGTTATGGTAATTTCCTGTGATTTCTTTCTTCTTTTACATGTAGTGATGCCCCCAAACAACAAG